AATGTACCCGCAGAAAACTACAATATTACTATATGTTTGGAGGATTGTTCCTACAAAAGTGGGGAGCGTAAACCTCCAAGGTTTTTATGGCAAAACAGAAACTTTTAAGACAAAGCTGAATTTCTTAACGTATGTTATTAAGGAAGTATGTTTAAAATAAATGGAATTGGGTCTTTAAATGTATTCAACACCCTGATGCAGCTGAGTGTTTATACTTCTTTCAAAAACAACAATATCAAAGGATAGTCATAATCATCATCCAGTAAGACTACTAACTCCAACCTTCAAACCTCCAATTTTGCGATATATCTGGCCCCTTCGAGATTAGCAAAAATGTATTCGAATGTAAATCCAACTTGCTGGAAGTGCAAGCAGGCATAGGGCCCTTTTTTCCATGTCTGGTGGCTTTGCCCAAAAATTAGGAAGCATTGGAAAAAAATAAGGATTTGGCTAATAGAAATAACATCGGAAAAAGTAGAACTCAAACTAGAATTTTTTTTACTAGGGATGATTAAGGAAAATTATAAGAAAGAAATAAAGTATTTAATACTACATATAGTCACTGCAGCCAGATTGGATTTAGCTCAATTTTGGAAAACTGATCAACTGCCAACAGAACAACTGATAATTCAAAAAAAATCTATAATTGTGTGGAAATGGATAAATTAACATTCGAATTGAAAGATAAGGCAGACTCAAAATACTTTATAGCATGGAATAGATGGTATGATTAGATAATTCGGAGAAATGAGGGCAAATGTAAAATTCTGAATGATAACAAAAATTTTTTTAAAAATGCACCGTCAATAAGACAACAGATATGTGCTTAAAGTCACCTTTTCTTTTTATGTAGTGTTGTTTATATTGATATATATGTGTTTAGTGTATACATGGTGTAGTGTTTCGCTTTTAAATGTTTAATAAAGTTTGTTTTTAAAACCAAAAACAAGAAGAAGAAGAAGAAGAAGAAGAAGAAGAAGAAAAGAAGAAGAAGAAGAAGAAGAAGAAGAAGAAGAAGAAGAAGAAGAAGGAGAAGAAGAAGAAGAAGAAGCTGTTTTTCAGCCCCAACCAGCCCCAACCTCAAAACCAGCGAACGAACTAATGTACTGAAGCTGACCAGGCTAAGGATGCTAACCAGACGGATACCTGGTAAGCAGAATTTGTTTTTTTCCTATTTTCCTCCCCAAAAACAAAGGTGCGTCTTATATTCCGAAAAATACAGTAGCTAAAACCATGGAGAAAGTCCCACATTTTCAATAGTGACGGGTTAAAATTCTTATGCATTTCCTTTTATTCTTCAAAATGGTGAGCTCCGTTTTTTCCCAGATAAAGACGGCTGCGTTGTTAACGTATTCTCTTCTGCTGAATAGTTTCTCATTTATTCCAGGGCATCGATCAAGTTTCTTGATAAGCTTATCCTCTAAGGACAAGTTCATATTTTGAAGAGCATACACTTCTAAACCAAGGGAGCAGGGAAAGAGAATCTCTTTCCTTCCCAAGGGGGAAAAAAATGATTAAAATGGAGAAAATCGACTCCTTGAAAACAAATCCTCGGTAAGAAAGTCAGGCACATCAAGTGTTTCAACATGGACTCAAGTGAGCTTGTACATTGTTCTCTCTTCCAAGCAGTTCCATGAACTGTAGTAGAAGGCTACTACAGCATTTTGATTTTTAGAAGAATATAATTTCATACAACATAGAATCATTGGGTTAGAAGGGACCTTGACGGTCTTCTAATCTGACCCTTTATAGCAGGGGTGTCAAATTCGATTTCATTGAGGGCCGCATCAGGGTTGCTTGACCTCAGGGGCCGTGACCAGGGTGGGCATGGCCAGCTTGATGTCACTCATGTCAAGGGCGTCTATTGTGGCCCGAGTGCTCGGCCAGCGAAAAGGGGCTCCCAATCTCTGTGTCAGGGTTCCAACAGATACCCTAATTAAATCATGAGCCAAGCTTCAAAAGAAATCCAGTTATTTATTAGGAGCTTCATGTTGGCACGTTCCCAAATAAAGCCAACACTGACCCCACGTAATTTACGGCCCCAATCATGACCTTGTTTCCCCTCCTCCCCCCAGGGTGTGTCATCAATCACATTCACCAACAGAGCAATTTCATGGGTTGTAGTGATCATTCCCTTCCGGCCACTGTGGGTAACCCTGTGAGACAGCCTTGAGAAAGTTATGTCTGGAATGTGTTCCTGGTTTTGACTGCTTCGTCGGTTTCCCATCCCCGTTGCCTATAGCAACTCGAGAGCAGGCCAGGGATGCTTTGTGAGTTGACACTCCATTTTTCGCTGAGATGACCTCCTGCAACTCTCTATCAGTGAAAATGGAGCTCGCCATTTTTGCTGGCAGAGAGCTGTAGGAGGCCGTCCCAGCCAAAAATGGAGATTGGGAGCCCATTTTCGCAGGCAGAGGCACCACAAGATGGTCCTTCGCTGTTTCCAGGGCGGCCCACGGGCCAGATCTAAGCACCCCATGGGCCAGATCCAGCCCGCGGACCTTGAGTTTGACACCCCTGCCTTATAGAGACCTTATACCATGCCTGAATGATCTTGCAATTATGAATGTCATATATGAAAAGGAGAAAATTGTGTGAACTGATAATTTCTCTCATCTGCCCTAAATACCAATCAATACCATTAGATTAACTTGGAACAGTTCCATAAATTATTCATGAAAATTAAAGCTACTTCTAATATAAATTAATTCCTCCATAGGAAGGTGGGTCAAAATTAGACAAACAGAATATTATTTACAAAGCAGAAGGAAGGAAGCTGGTTTGCTGCTATTCAATTTTACTGTTTCTGAGTTACAGGGGTTAATGTTCCCCATTGATTGTGCAGGTGTATCTGACCCACATAACAATCTTAGATTTAACACCGCATTTCACAATTTTATTCTAAAATAAGAGAACAAGGAGGAATAACCCTTTTGCCCTTGTGCAGTACCAGCTAGCATACCCAAACGGTGTACTCTAAAATTGAATTTTAATAATTGATAACCCAGAAACCATCTAGTTACAATAGCTACGGAGCGAATATGAGATGGCAAAACTTTTTACTATAACGTTCGTACAAAGGTGAGAATTATATAGCCATCCTTTGAATGGAATCCCACCAACAGTCACCTAAAACCAATAAAAGTTTTTTTCAGGTCTTATTTCACATATTTCGTCCATGGGATGGAATAAACCAAGAGATGATACTTACAATGCCAAAGTATCTCAGAAGTGCTATTTATCATGTGCCTCCATGTTCAGCTAATAAATCCATTCCATTAAGGCATGGGTGTCAAACTCACGGCGTCACATTGCCGTCACATGACATATCGCAACTTTTTCCCCTTCGCGGAGCTGGGTGGGCGTGGCCTGCGTACCCATAGGCTGTTAGTTTGACACCCCTGCATTAAGGGATAGCTATTTGCCTCATTCCTTAACAAAGGTAAGGCAGGTTAACAAATCAGAATTAATGGTAAACTCGCATAAGAAAACACAACTACCCTTGAAAAGTGTTCGGAGACTACAGTTGGTCCAGAATGCAGCCGCGCGAGTTATAGTGGGTGCGCCTAGATACACCCACATTACACCAATTCTCCGCTAGCTGCACTGGCTCCCTATTGGTCTCCGGGTGCAATTCAAGGTGTTGGTCATTACCTTTAAAGTCCTATATGGCTCAGGGCCAGGCTATCTTCGAAACTGCCTTCTACCACATAGCTCCCAGCGACCGGTAAGATTCCACAGAGTTGGTCTCCTCCGGGTCCCATCAGCTAAACAATGTCGGCTGGCGGGCCTGTGGGGGAGGGCCTTCTCTGTGGCTGCCCCGGCTCTCTGGAACCAATTACCTCCTGAGGTCCGGATTGCCCCCACCTGAAGACCTGGCTCTTCCGGCAGGCCTGGGGCCGTTGATCTCGTTATAATGATCTTGCGAGACCCGGCCACGAATTGGAGTGCATGTGTTTTAATGTTTTTAAAGTTTTTAATGTTTTAATGTTTTTCTTTTTAACATTTTTATGGGATTGTCCGCATTATTTTATTCTTTGTTGTAAGCCGCCCAGAGTCCCTTGGGAGTTGGGCGGCATAGAAATGAGACTAAATAAACAAACAAACAAACAAACAAACAAACAAACAAACAAACAACTAGAAATCTGGACTTAGATCAGTCTGGTCCTAATTTGAAGTGGCAAATGTTACCTTGGCAACCAAGTATAGTTAATGCTTTTGTACGAAAACAAGACACTCCCTACATACACACACACACACACACGCCTTTGGGATGACATTTTAGGACAGGGGTGTCATACTGGATGCGTCACATGCAGGCCACACCCACTCCAGTTCCGCAAAGAGGGGAAAATCATGATACGTCACGTGACAGCAACGTGACACGGTGGGTTTGACACCTGTGCCTTAGGAAAACAGAGTCATGTGATCGCAGGAAGTAACTGTGGCCAAGTTGCTAAGTGCCTGAGGGATGATCACATGAATGGGTGGGGGGGACAAGCAGTAGGTCATAAGTGCCCTTTTTCGGGTCGTTACTTCAAACTGTTACTAGGTGGGTGGTCAGAAGTCAAGGACTATTTATTCAGACGACTCTGATAATTTCATATAGAATTTAACTATTTTTTCCCATCAAGGCAAAAAACAATACTGCAGCTATTATCTTTAAATTATTCTAACATGTCACCAGTTTTTTTATTTTGAACAAAGCATCACGGCAGTCATTTTACACCCAGCAAAAAGGCAAAGGCCAATACTTTTCAATTACCAAGCCTGGATCAATTTTAAATCACTGACTAAGAAAAATGCCGTGCATAAATAAATGAAAAGCGCAGCGCGAGACCCTTTGAATTTTATTTGCCAAATGGAACCCTATCCACAAAGCAATTTTTCTGTAAGGTGCGCGATCGATACTCTGACTAAACAGGCATGCCAAAACCACAACTGAGAATCAAACGAAGCCAACAGCGAACGCCATTCCTTTGCCAAGCTACAAAACTTACTGCAAGAAACCAAATCGGTCGGTAACTTTGTAAAGCAGGTACTCAGCATCTTCCCAAGGCTCGATCTCGGCTCCTTCACGTCCCTGTAGAAAGCAGAGAAGACAGATAATTAATTCATGTTATTAAATTTGCCACTTACGGTTCCACATTACAAGAGCTGCTGGCATGCTCTCAACCTCAAAAGGAATTCCTTATTTTTTATCCACAAAAGCTTGAGGGAGAGAACCACGGGTCGAAATATCTTTCCCACAGCTACCTATACATATTCAAATTCAAATTCATATTCAAAGCTAATACAATCCTGGATTGTATAAACAAAGGCATAGAATCAAGATCACGTGAAGTACTAGTATCGTTTTCTAAAACCCCAGTAAGACCACACCTGGAATATTGCAACTAATTTTGGTCCCCATGCTATAAAAAAGATGTTGAGACTTTGGAAGAAAGTTCCGAGGAGAGCAAGTAAGAACGATCAAAGGCCTGGAGCCTAAAACATAGTAGTAGTAGTAGTAGTAGTAGTAGTAGTAGTAGTAGTAGTAGTAGATAATAATAATAATAATAATAATAATAATAATAATAATAATAATAATTTTATTAATATACCGCCCTCCTCCTGAAGGACTCGGGGCGGTGTACAGCCAAAATTAAAACCATAAATATACAATATCATAGTTAAAATTAATTAAAATCATTAAATAGTTTTGGCCGAATTTTAAAACCCAAAGTTACAACCCAATTTAAAACCATTCAATTAGACAGCCCCGCCTGTCGGAACAGTAGGGTCTTGAGGGCACAGCGAAAGACCCGGAGATCAGGGAAGTTACGAATATCCGCGGGCAATTCATTCCAAACGGCAGGGGCTCCGACAGAGAAGGCTCTCCTCCTGGGTGTCGCCAGCCGGAATAACTTGGCCGACAGCACCCTGAGGAGTCCCTCTCTGTGGGAGCGAACTGGTTGGTGGGAGGCAGTTGGTGGCAGAAGGCGGTCCCGTAGATATCCTGGTCCTATGCCATGGAGCGCTTTAAAGGTGGTGACCAACACCTTGAATTGCATTCGGAAGACCACTGGGAGCCAGTGCAGCTCGCGCAGGAGAGGTGTTACATGGGCGTAACGAGGTGTTACATGGGCGTAAGAAGAACGGCTGCAAGATTTGGGTTTGGCTAATCTAAAGAAAAGAAGAATTAGGGGTGACACGATAGCGGCATTTCAGTATTCGAGGGGCTGCCACAAAGAAGAGGGGGTCAACTTATTCTCCAAAGCACCAGAGGGCAGGACAAGAAGCAATGGTTGGAAACTAATCAAGGAGAGAAGCAACCTGGAATTGAGGAGAAACTTCCTAACAGTGAGGACAATTAACCAGTGGAACAGCTGGCCTCCAGAAATCGTGGTTGTTTCATCACTGGAGGTTTTTAAGAAGAGTCTAGACCAGGGGTCAGCAACCTGCGGCTCTGGAGCCGCATGTGGCTCTTTCACCCCTCTGCTGAGGCTCCCTGTCACTCAAAATATGCGTCATAACCGCCAATGTGCGACACCCGTCGGCATGAGATTTATTGAGCTTTTCAACCCCAGGTAGGCCAACCGTGGATAAATCCAAGAAATGAAAAGTTTCAGAAGAAAACAATGTTTAATTCGATTACATATGCCAGTTTTGTGGCCGCTCAAGAAATAATCAGGCATGGGAAGGGTTTTGTGGCTCCATGTGTTTTCTTTTCTGTGGGAAATGGGTCCAAATGGCTCTTTGAGTGTTTAAGGTTGCAGACCCCTGGTCTAGACCAGTGTTGGCGAACCTTTTCGGCACCAAGGGCCAAAACAGGAGCACGGGCACGGGGGGGGCACCAAAAACTGGAAGAGCAACTCCCCAGCACACATGCGCAGGAATGCCAGAAACCAGAAGAGCAGTTCCCCGACGTGCATACGTGCACTGGGACGCTGAGCTTCCAGTTTCTGCCATGCGCATGCATGTCGGTCACCTGGTCTTCCGGTTTCTGGCACGCATGCACACACGAACACCAGCTGGCCGGGGGGCTGCTCTTACAGTTTCCGACATTCCCGCATGCGCGAAGACCAGCTGGCTGGCACTCATGTGCGTGCCGGAACCCAGAAGAGCAATGGGCAACAGCTGATGTGCCTGGAGAGTTGGCTCTACGTGTCACTTCCGGCACGCGTGCCATAGGTTCGCCATCACGGGTCTAGACAGTCACTTATCTAAAATGGTATAGGTCCGTGATGGCGAACCTATGCCACGCGTGCCACAGGTGGCACACGGAGCCATATCTGTGGGCATGTGAGTGTTGCCCTATCTTAGCTCCAGAGCACAAGAGTGCGACACCCACCTGATTTTCGGGCCTTCCGGTCCCACCGGAAATTGGGAAACAGGCCGTTTCCGGGCTCCAGAGGGCCTCTGAGGTGAGGAAACACTGTTTTCGCCCTCCCTGGGCTCCAAGAAAGCCTCTAGAGCCTGGGGAGGGTGAAAAACAGGCCTACTGGGGCCACCGTGCCAGTGCCAAAAGCGTGGGGAGTGTGTGTGTGGGGGGGGTGTCATGTATGCGGGCGTGGGGGGCAGGGAGCATTGAATTATGGGTGTGGGCATGCATGCACGCGACCCCCCCCTGTGCTCCCCCCACTTTTGGCATGCGACGGCAAAAAAGGTTAGCCATCATGGTATAGGTTCTCCTGCTTGAGTAAGGGGCTGGACTAGAAGACCTCCAAGATCCCTTCCAGTTCACTCTATTCTAAATCATCTACAGGTGTGCACAGGCATTCTCTCAACAGAGGTACACGATGAGGTTGCCTGCAAACAATGGAGAATGTATCTGCATTATAATTTTTCTAATCAACTCCGGTGTCAACTGCTCCTCCCGTTCCTCCAGGAGTAATTCTCCATCTCACGTTCAGCTAACAAAAGAAATATTAGCAAATAACTACGGTTCATGGTCACGTGATTAGAATTCAGATGCTTGGCAGACCTTCTGACGTGCAGTCAATGGGCAAACCAGATTCACTTAACAACGTCACTAACTTAACAACTGCATATAAATTTAATAAATAAATAGATTTTTTTTCTCCCCCCACCCCCCTGAGACCTCCTATCTTTTGCAATATAGAAATTATTACAAAATAAGGTAGGCTCTATTTCAGTGATGGATAACCTTTTTGCCATTGTGTGCCGAAAGCGGGGGTAGTGGGGGGAGGGGGATTGCACACGTGCCCACACCCATAATTCAATGTGCCCTGTCCCCCCATGCATGCACGCATGAGCCCACCCCGCGCTCCCCCCACTTTTGGCACGCGATGGCACGGTGGGCCCAGTAGGCTCATTTTTTTGCCCTCCCCAGGCTCCAGAGCCTTTCTAGGACCCTGCGGAAGGCGAAAACAGCCTTCCCCACCCCCCGGAGGCCCTCTGGAGGCCCAGAAATAGCCCATTTCCTGACTTCCAGAGGGCCCAGAAGGCCTGAAAATCAGCTGGCCAGCGCGCACATGCGTGCTGGACTGAGGTAGGGCAATGCTCGCGTGCACACAGATATGGCTCCGTGTGCCACCTGTGGCATTCGTGCCAAAGGTTCGCCATCACGGCTCTATTTCCTACTTGGAATTGGGAGTGAATCTTTTCACGCTCCCTTCCTCTTCCCTTTACGACATGTTGGTACAACAGCTACTTAAGGAAACAGAGGGCACCCCAATGATTGGCTACGAGTGAGATAATGGAGCGGGTGTGGATGTGTATTTGTTTGTTCATCACCTGATCGTCTGAGCCGCTGGTTACTCGGCCCAAGAGAGCAGAATAGCCCATGACACAATTATTTAAGAATTACACAAACTTACTCGGTCGTACTTGGCAACTATCTCAGCACGTTCTTGAGCAAGTTTGACAGCAGCATCCTGTTCAACATCAGTACCTGGGGAGGGAAAAGAGGGAGGGAAAAAAAGAGAGAAAATGGATACAGTTGGGCAGGTTCTATCTACCCGTTTTTTTGATGATCGCCATTTAAAGAAATACATAAAGGAAACATTTCTTCCTTATTAACATAATACTGATGGTTTAAAAAAAGGGTCTCTTTTAAGCATTGGGCGTTTAAACTGACCATTTTTCATCTGTTACCTTTTGCAATATTTTTGCATACCTATTTTGGTAGTTTTGGCAAACTATAACACAAAACATTTTTTTTTCTTTCAAAATACTGGATTAGTAAAGCTGGATATGAGGGACGCGGTGGCTCAATGGCTAAGATGCTGAGCTTGTCGATCGAAAGGTCGGCAGTTCAGCGGTTCGAATCCCTAGTGCTGTGTAACGGGGTGAGCTCCCATTACTTGTCCCAGCTTCTGCCAATCTAGCAGTTCGAAAGCACGTAAAAAATGCAAGTAGGAAAAATAGGGACCGCCTTTGGTGGGAAGGTAACAGCGCTCCGTGCGCCTTTGGCGTTTAGTCATGCCGGCCACATGACCACGGAGACATCTTCAGACAGCGCTGGCTCTTCGGCTTAGAAACGGAGATGAGCACTGCCCCCTAGAGCCAGGAACAACTAGCATTTATGTGCAAGGGGAACCTTTACCTTAAAGCTGGATCAAGTTAGCCCTTCAGAAAATCAAAATCTGTGGTAAAATGCATCTTATGTAAAGAATTTAAGCAGTAAAGCAGAAAGTTTGAACAACACTTCCAATGAAATATGAAGGTAATATATAATCGACAGCAACAGGAGATTTGCTTATTCTAAAGTCTTCATTTATATAGGACGGTATCTGGATTTCGATCTACTGTTAAAAATGCAGGATTTATAACAACATTTCTTAATCCTAATTTCTATATTAGAATCGCTATGTACAAAAAAAAAAACATCTGTAAGATTTATTTTTTTTTAGCAATCAAATTAAAGAGAAATAGTCCGCATGTTATTATTAACCATATTGGCTGTAGTTCATTTAGTGACCGTTCAAAGTTACAACGGCACTGGAAAAAAACGATGTATGACCATTTTTTCACACTTATGACCATTGCAGCATCCGTATAGTCATGTGATCTAAATTCAGACACTTGGGAACTGACTCATATTTATGACGGTTGCAGTGTCCCAGAGTCAAATGATCACCTTTTGAGAACTTCTGACAAGCAAAGTTAATGGGGGGAAGCCGGATTCACTTAACAACCGGGTTATTAATTTAACTGCAGTGATTCACTTAACAAATGCGGCAAGAAAAGTTGTAAAATGGGGCAAAACTCACTTAACAAATGTTTCACTTACCCTGTTTCCCTGAAAATAAGACCCAACAAGAAAATAAATCTTAGCATGTTTTTTCAGGATGCTCGTAATATAAGCCCTATCCCCAAAATAAGCTCCAGTTGTCAGTCAGATGGATGCATTTAGTACCGTATTTCCCCCAAAATAAGACCTAACCAGAAAATAAGCCCTAATGGATCTTTTGGAGCAAAAATTCCCTGTGTTTTGGGGAAACACAGTAGCTACATAAATTTTGGCCTCAACTGTGGTCATAAATTGAGGACTACCTCTATCTGTTAGTGGTAAAAGGAAACCAGGCCAGTAAAGACCATGGTATCCAGACACCATCAAAGCTGACAACAGCCAGAACACAGAAACAACTCAGAGAAGTCGTGCAAGACAGGAAGACGTGGAGAGACCTGGCCGATAGAATCGCCAAGGACACCTGACTGAATGGATAACATAACCATCAAGCAGTAATCCAGACATAATAAACCTGCTAAATGTTTTAACGATGCAGATCACTATCCCACTGAGTTGCAAAAAGGGTTTAGAATAGAATAGAATAGAATTTTTTATTGGCCAAGTGTGATTGGACACACAAGGAATTTGTCGTTGGTGCATACGCTCTCAGTGTACATAAAAGAAAAGATACGTTCGTCTAGAATCATAAAGTACAACAACACAATGATAGTCATAGGGTACAAATAAGCAATCAGGAAACAATATCAATATAAATCGTAAGGACATCAGCAACAAGGTTACAGTCATACAGTCATAAGTGAGATGGGTGATGAGAAGATGAGAAGATTAATAGTAGTGCAGATTTAGTGAATAGTTTGACAGTGTTGAGGGAATTATTTGTTTAGCAGAGTGATGGTGTTTGAGAGTTGAAACAGTTTATGTCCAGGATGTGAGGAGTCTGTAAATGTTTTGTGGCTAAGGTGGCAAAGATTCCTTGGTTGACAAACTAGGGAGGCAAAGTTCCCGACCAGGCAGAAAGTTTGAAAGGCTCTCTCGCTTTCGCTAGCCCTATTATTTCTGCCAAGGAACGGACGGGTCTCATAGCTTTTCAGCAGCACGCGCTCTATTTTTACATTCCTCCTGGTTGCAAATTGGCCAAGCTTGAGGTAGTTAACGAAGCACAGCTATTATCCATGCTGGGAAGCGACTGCCCTCCAATGCTGGAAAAACAAATCAGATCAGATTCAGAAAACCGTGAAGATCAGAACGTTTTCAGACAGCTCAAGGTGCTCCTGTTTTCTCCCTGGACCAGTGGGGTCACCTAATGATCACAGGGTGCTGCTGAGCGAGAAGACATTAGGTCATCCAAAAAAAATAAAGAAAGAAAGAAAGAAAAAAAGCAATAGAGCTATATAAAAGCAAGTGACAGAAATAATGATCTGACTCACCAACAGAGTCAACAGGGAAGTGAAATGAAGGAGACAGAAAGACATCAGACTCAGTGAATATTAATCAGAGGATAAAGGAAATCTCACCTCTCCAATTCCCCTACCTCCTTGAGCAAAAATAAAGTAAACTGCAGAGTCTGGTAAATGAGAGGTCTCGGGGCCGAGCTTGAATCCCTGAAGCTTTTCAATTAGCCAACGTAGGAATAAAGAGTCTTTATGCAAAGAGGATTTTCGCAGATTGCTACAGGCTGGAATTAGGATTTTGGTGCAGCACGTTTTAGGAAGTTGATGAGTATCTTCACGTTTCTATCCCACTTCTCTCTGCAGGTTGCTCTAATGAGCCCTTAACAGAAATGACTGTCAGTCCTTTTGTTAGTTACTTCACTCTATATAAGTCAAGCATGTTATGAGTTTCAAGGCACTGGCCAGCCCACCTTCCTCAACATGCTAGTGCCGTGATGGCGAACTTATGGCATGCGTGCCACAGGTGGCACGCAGAGCCATATCAGTGGGCACGCAAGTGTTGCCCTAGCTGATCTCCAGCGTGCATGCGTGTGCTGGCCAGCTAATTTTCGGGCCTTCTGGGCCCACAGGAAGTCGGGAAATAGGCTGTTTCTGGCCTCCGGGGGGCCTCGGGGGGGGAGGCTGTTTTCACCCTCCCCAGGCTCCTAGAAAGCCTCTGGAGCCTGGGGAGGGCGAAAAACGGGCTTTCCAGTCCCACCGTGCCATCGCGTGCCAAAAGCGGGGGGAGCACTGAGGGTCGCGTACACATGCGCAGGGGGGCAGAGAGCATTGAATTATGGGTGTGGGCGCACACATGCGTGACCCTCCGTGCTCCCCCTGCTTTTGGCACGGGACGGCAAAAAGATTAGTCATCACTGTGCTAGTGTCTAGATCTGTTGGAACAATCACTTTCAAAATTCCCAAATGTGGGAATGAACCAGCCAAATGTGATTCTGGATCCCAATGTTTAAGACTCTTATTAGATTTGGTTTAGGCTCATCCCTAGTTTCTAAGAATGCATAGCATAATAACCAGATACCTTATGTAATAACCAAATGTGCAGGCCATTTTTCAACCTGCAAAACGTTATCTACCACATGTTATTGAGGGAAAGAATGAGACAGGTGCTATTCCCGATAGCTACTACGTAAGTACAAACTATGTAATAATCTGACATGAAATCCTACATACTCATATACTACTGATTAGTGTTAAGAGTGATAGATTGAATCTTTATTGGCGAAGAGAACAAAGATGAAGGTTCACTATTATACCTCCCACAGCAAACTAAAAAAAAAAAAACCAGGAACCATATAAATACAACACATAAATCTTCTCCCCTTTTAAATGTAAATTTTAATTTGTTTTTAAATTATTGGGTATTTTAAATTTGTCTTAGCCAAATTATTTAATTCGTTGTTATTCTATTTTAAATTTTTGTATTTATGTGTTTTATTCTGTGGCTGTTCACCGCCCTGAATTCTTCGGGAGTAGAGATAGATAGATAGATAGATAGATAGATAGATAGATAGATAGATAGATAGATGATAGATAGATAGATAGATAGATAGATAGATAGATGATAGATAGATAGATAGAAAGATAGAAATAAATAAATAAATAAATAAATAAATAAATAAATAAATAAATAAATAAATAAATAAATAAATCCCAACACATATTCTGGAGAGAGAGAAATTTCCCTGACGATGGGCTCCATCCAGGAGCCCAAAAGCTTGGAAGAATAAACATTTGGTCCCGGTGACTGACTCAGATTGGATCCTGTTTTTTTTAAAAAAAACGATGCTAAATCCAGCAGATCATAAACTGGGCTACCCTCAGCGTATCCCCCCCCCCCCAAAAAAAACCTATTCCATGCAGGCCTCACAAAAACAAGCTATATAAGATTATCGTATGCTAGCTCTCTCGGAAATGCCCAAACAATCCAATTCTGACTTTTTCAACCCTCAGCTGCAGTCTGCACTGAACGATAGTAACCTATAAATTATGTGGTCACTGATAAACAGAGTGGGAAAAGCAGCTGTCTCTATCTCTAAGCCAATTTGTTTGAATATGGCAGCTATTTAGAGGCAATAACAATCACTTGTCTTGACTCCTTGAGCAATGACTGCATTTGTAGTGGCATCATTCTGTTGTGTTTGTTCAACAACATTCTTACCATAATCTCATGTACTAACATTCTTAGGTCATGAAGCCAACAATCTAATCAGGAAATTGGTGGTAAAAATGTCTCATCCCACTTCGCTTTGTTATTTAAGCCTACCGTTGTGGTAAAAGGAAGGATAAGTGAATTAACCTTAGTAACAAAATGAGGACGTTTACCCATCTTGCCAAAATTGAACAGATTAAGGGTAGCCCCCATTCCCTTCTCCCCATAATGTCTTCCAGCACTGTTTTTGGCTACTTCTGAAGAGATGTTGTAGGGAGAAGTGCCCAGTACAGCTTCTATCTCAAACACTAAGAATCTTCCACAGGGCTCTATGACATAATACAGGTTCCTTGAGAGAGCAAAGAAACCTTGCAATAAATGATAGCTAGCTAGGCACTCTAGTCTACCTTGTTTCCCCAAAAATAAGACCTGGCCTTATTTTCTTTTCGGCACCAAAATAAGCACCGGATCTTATTTTCGGGGGATGTCTTGACCGCTTACCTTAGGATCACCGTAGCCACGCCTCCCATGCCCCAACAACTGTCAGGCCGCTGCCTGACTTCTTTTAGGGCTGCTTGTAGCCAGATGCCGCATTGTTCCATCATGCTGGTGGAGCCACTCGTGGCACAACGCCGCGAGGTTCATCGTGCCGGTACAGACGCTTGCGACAGGATGCTCCATGGTGTGTTGTGTCATTGCACCCGCAAGCGGTGGCACCAGCGTGACGAGCCTTGTGGCGTCCTGCCACAAGTGGCTGCAGAAGAAGCTGGGCAGTGGCACGACAGGTGTTGGGCTGTGGGAAGCCTGGCTGCAGCGGTCCTCAGGTAAGTTGGTGCAGGGCAGTTCCAATCCCCCACCCCAGCTTGATTTTTAGGTCTGCACCTCGTCCCACTTCGTACAACCAGAAGTTGGGTGGGGCTTAACTTGAGCTTATTTTGGGGGTAAGGCTTATATTAGGCGCAGACATGCAAATCGGGCTAGGGCTTATTTTTGGGGTAGGTCGCATTTTCAGGAAAACACAATATTTACACCAGGTCCTAGGCCTATGGGAAGAGGGTTTCTTATGGATGCAAGACCTGTCTGCAAAAGATAGATGGAAAAAACTGTGGAACCAGCCACAGAAGAGGAGCAAAAAGTACAAAACTCAACAATGAGGCAATACAAGAGACAGAAACTAATGTGTTTGAATTAACCCTTGGCATCTTCTAATAGCTCGCCATGACTTATTTAACCTCTGAGTATACAGGGCACAAACTGTATGCGTACAATTACTATGCTTTCACTCCGAGAAAAGTGATGCTACTGACACATGGCTAAATCTACCCATGTATGTGCTACCTTTAAGTGTAGGAAGAACCTCTTCCAACGATATGAGAAAGCAGCGAAGTAATTACTGGCGTGCAACATTGTCTTCTTGAATGCTGGCAAAAGGCCGGCTGAATTTGCTGCCTTCCTCAAACTCTGGAGTTGCAGAGATGACCCAGCCGTCAGGAAATCGTGGATCCATTTAAATTCCATGTAGCATCACTGAAATTCCTTGTTTCCTCATTTAACCACTTAAAACGACTGAGCTGCATAAGCGCCTGACCGCCAGCACACCATTAAAATCTTTGTTATTCGCAATGCCTTTTTCAAAGCCTTCCTACCAGGGGACTAAAATTCCTTAGGATAGTGTCAAAGGAACATAACACAGGGATTGGATGAAACGAGGCAGATCTGAGTCTGGTTAGAAGATGGATGGGAAATTAGGAACATCCCATGGATAGGTACTATCTGTGCTTTTCGGTATAAGAAATAGGCAGATCTCAGGTTTTGGGTATCCCCTGTAATTTTCTCCAGCCCCACACCCCAAAATAATACCAATACAAAACAGTATCTGGCAGGTTAACCTAGATACTAAACCAGGGTGGAGCAAATGACTTACTGCAGCTAATTATTATCCACAAATTGCCTGAGTTTCTGTAATACTTGGGTTTTAGCATTAGATTTCACAATTAGCTAGCATATCCACAAGAAGGATTGGTTGATGGCAGTCAAGTGAGCACTTCATATGGTTGGGAAACAAGCAATTTGGACACCAAAGCTAATAAAGAGTTTTTTCCCCCTTTCCAATAAATAAGGAAAAAAATAGTCTGATTTATCATAAATCATGTACCCTGTTTGCCCGAAAATAAGACATCCCCTGATAATAAGCCCAATTGGGCTTTTGAACGCATGCGCTAAAATAAGCCTCCCCCCCTAAAATAAGCCCTCCCCAAAAATATTTAAACGCAGAACTGGAAATCAGGTAAGACGGCCAAAGGAGCCCCATCTTGCTTCATGCGCCCCCAAATAATAAGACCTCCCCGAAAATAAGACCAAGTGCTGATTGGGGGGGGGGGGTTTAAAAAATATAAGACAGGGTCTTATTTTCAGGGAAACACGGTAGCTGTCTAGTATCTGATTCCATAGTTCTTGCATTTCGCACCATCCGAAAGAAAATATGGATTACAAATTCAATAAAAAGGTATTACAGTAGAAGATTATTGATGTAGTGCCTGTTTTTTCTTCTCTAGCATTTTATACAGAAAGGTCAATGCATAAAATACTTTTAAGAACTATGGAACCAAATCTACTCCTCTTTTAAAAGTACAGCTTGAGGAAAGCTACATACAAAAGACGTATCTTACACTGATAATCGTTTCTAAGTAAAGTTATCTGAACACGTCCTATTTTAAAAGAAAGCAGTTGAAATAGATACACCAGAAGCAAAGTGCTATTTTATCAACGGCTTACTTATGATACTAAGAATAAGTCAGTAAAGCATGCAATTTAATTTTGGGATTGTATTTTACCGTAGATGTTCTCTTTCCTTGAGCAGCCCCGAATCCTATTTACAGTTTTAGTCCTCATTGAGCAAGAACCTCTATTTCCAGATCGCCGTGCAACGATCAATCATACAAAGTCCATTCTGTTCACGCGTGCAGAAAAATCCGAGGCAGAGTGGGGGTGACACCCGTCTTTCTTCTTTTGCTTGGGGGGAAAAAAAATCCCTGAGACCTTCAAGTAACTCAGAGGGTTCGAATATCAAATTCCTTCGAACACTCAGCCCAATGTAGCCACGCTTTGCTGTCTACAGAGCTTTAAAACAATGGAGCCATTGGTGAACCGGGAACGACACGCAAGTATTTCCCAGTTCCAGCCTACACATCCAGCATTCCACTCCAGAAGAAACAAGTCTTCAGTAAACTTGTTTCACAACAGTTTGAGACGAACAACATCAAGGACGGCGATGAATGCAGCACCGAGAACAAGAATATCAAATGATATTGTCCTTGGTTACAGAGTAGTTCAGTTGCAACTATTAAATATGCACATAGACAGAATGTTCCCGTTTCAAAAGGAAAAAAAAAAGAAAAGAAAGAAAATTTTTTAAAAAATAGCAAACTTGTTCCTTGCAAGCTTCACAAAAACAAGCTACAGAAGATTAAGTTATCGTGCGCTGCTAGCTCTCTCGGAAATACCCAAACATTCCAATTCAGCAAATGCTTCATTAAAGTATTAAAATTCTTGTGGGTGGCAACTCCAGGACTTTGACGCTCTCTTAATGAACGTTGATGGACGGTTTTTTAAAAGAATTAAACTAAAAGGCACTACAGTATAACACGCCTATCGTGAAGGCCTCTTTTAGCGGTAGAATAGTTTCGGCATAGGTAGTCCTGGAATTGCAACCCTTCATTTAGTGACGGACGAAGTTGCAATGGCACAGAAAAGTGACTTACGACCGTTTTCGCGTTCATGACCGTTGCAGCACCCCCGTGTGGTCACGTGATCAAAATCTAAATGCTTGGCGACTGATTCGTATTTGTGACGATTTGCAATGTCCCGGGACCATGTGATCAGCTTTTGCAACCTTCTGACAAGCCAAGTCAATGGAGAAGCCAGATTCACTCAACAACCCTGTTATGAACTTAACAACTGCAGTGACTCACTTAACAACTGTGCCAAGAAAGGTCATAAAATGAGTCATAAAACTCACTGAGCAACTGTTTCACTTAGCAGTGGAAATGTTGGGCTCAATTGTGGTCATAGGTTGAGGGTTACCTGTAATTAGAAATGAAGGGAAGAACCATCCTATTTTTAGAAATAAATTGTTTAGAAAATCATAAAACATACTAAACATAAATCATAAAACAACCAGGTAGGCAGTAATGTTCAGGAGGCAATACTGCACCATAGCAATTGTAGACCATGGTATCTGTTTAGTTTCATTCCATGCTAGCCTTCTTTTATAATCCTTATCAAGATCCATTAACTATGGCTTAGTTAGCTTCAAACTCTGCTAGTTAAACAATCATCCTACTCTTCAAGTGTGCACTGCTTTTCATGCCCTGTTTTTCCGAAAATAAGACATCCCCTGATAATAAGCCCAATCGGGCTTTTGAGCCCATGCGCTAAAATAAACCTCCCAAAAAAATAAGCCCTCCCCGAAAATATTTAAACGCAGAGCTGGAAATCAGGTAAGATGGCAAGAGGAGCCCCGTCTTGCTCCACGCGCCCCAAAATAATAAGATCTCCCCAAAAATAAGGCCAAGCTCTTATTTCAGGGTTCAAAAAAATATAAGACAGGGTCTTATTTTTGGGGAAACACGGTATTTGCAAGGGACAACTTACATTTACCCAGCTAGTGACTGATATAAGTGCATAAAACAATTTCTTAAGCAATGTTATCTAACATTGAGATTTCTTCATTTCAGTTATTCCAGGGTAACGTTTGATCGTTGCTTGGTGACACTCACCAATCATTCACAGATCAAATAATCCCATCATCCTTGCTTATTTGCTCGCATTAACTGGGTGGTATCAATCTGGTATAATCACAGCAGCTGAACATTTGTGGTGCAAGCAGAAATTGGGAAGAACCATATCAATTGTTTTAAGGGCCTTGCAGGAAAAGTGGAACAGAGGCATAAAATAAAGAAAGATGAGGAGACCCCTGCTGAACCCACAGTTTACGGCCTGGGAAAATGCCCCTGGTTAAATGTAAACGAACGAGCAGTGCGGAAAATTTAGAGACAATCAAACACGACGACAGGGAACCAAAAAATGAAACTGCAACTGTCAACAAAAGAAAGTAAAGATCGGGATCTGCCCGAAAGGAAGAAGCAACAGAATCAAATTTCACCTGATTTCCTGATCACTGATCCCGTGTTATTAGATCGATGTGAGAAAGATACGGGAAACCCCCCCCCCCCCACAATAATTTAACAACACCGTTAGAGCGATGTGCCATCAAAGCGCTCCGCATGCATTGCCCTGAATGGCTTCTAAGCTTCCATGAACAAGGAGCACATACAAAGCTGAGTAAAAACGAAGCAGCTGCTGCAAACTTTCTGTTTCCAGGAATAAGTTCAATCACATTCCACGTTTTGGTGGAACAAGCAGAGAATGAAATATAAAACAAAGCATACTGTTTCCCCACCCCACCCCACCTCCCGCAGAAGACAAAACCAACATCTCTTTGGTTCACAAAACATGGAAACTCCGCCGTGGCGCAGTTGTTAGAGTGTAGTACTGCAGGCTACTTCTGCTGATCACCGGCTGCCAGCAGTTTGGCAGTTCAAGTCCCACCAGCTCAGCCGTCCATCTTTCTGAGGTTGACAAAATGAGGACCCAGATTGTTGGGGGAAATATGCTGACTCTGTAAACCGCTTAGAGAGGGCTGTAAAAGCACTAGGAAGTGGTATATAAGTCTAAAGGCTATTGCTATCTCGCCCCATCTTGCCTACACATGTATGAAAGAGAAATTGGGAATAAAAAGTGATGTCCGAATATTCAAAATAAAACAGGTTAATAGAATAGTGATAGCCTCTGGCAATAGGTTAAAGCTCTTACTAGTCCTGGCAAAAGCCAGAGTATATTTATTTGCCACTTAGGTATAATATTATTTAGCATATCATACAAAACACAACAGGCTCTAAAAGTCCCTTAATTGGGTTTTTTATATATATATATATATATATGACTCCTGGAGAGTCTTTGGCTTCATCTAAATATGCAAATCTAAGTATGACATTTCAAATGGCCTAAAATGTAGGAATCTATCTTCAAACACAAGTAAGGAGTGGCACTTTTTACACTGCTTCTACAGTATATCCGAGTAGTCCTTGACTTACGACCACAATTGAGCCCAAAATTTCCACTGCTAAGCAAGACAGTTGTTAAGTGAATTTTGCCCTGTTTTGAATTATGGGTGTGGGCACGCATGCGCACTCCCCCTGCTTTTGGCACGCGATGGCAAAAAGGTTAGCCATCCCCGGTATAAGGTCTACCTTTCCAAGGTTTCTTCCAACCCTACAATTCTATCACCTCCTTCCTTCCCTTCCTTCCTTCCTTCCTTCCTTCCTTCCTTCCTTCCTTCCTTCCTTCCTTCCTTCCTTCCTTCCTTCTTTCTTTTCTTTTCTTTTCTTTTCTTTTCTTCTCTTTGCTTCATGCTACAACCTGGGGTAGTTTCCTGATAAGTTTTTCATCAAATATTAACAAAACCCCAACCATGCTTAGCTTCTCAAACTCGGGCAAGTTCCACTGGGTTTCTCTCCCACTTGCCAGGCTGTTCTATAATGCCGAGAAATGATTCATGAAAGGCAGAAAAACATAATGCAATCACCTATACTCCAATATAAGCACCGACAGATATTAGTACCTATTCGTCATTATGTACACGAACACTTGTTTATTTCGTGCTTGCTTCTGAGTAAGAAGCTAGCAAATGAAGCTCCGAAGGTTTAAGCAAACAACAGCTCCTGCGTGAGCTGCACTGGCTCCCAGTGGTCTTCCGGGTGCGATTCAAGGTGTTGGTTACCACCTTTAAAGCGCTCCATGGCATAGGACCCGGGTACCTCCGAGACCGTCTTCTGCCACCAATAGCCTCCCACCGACCAGTCCGTTCCCACAGAGAGGGTCTCCTCAGGGTGCCATCAGCCAAGTTATGTCGGCTGGCGACACCCAGGGGGAGGGCCTTCTCTGTGGGAGCCCCAGCCCTGTGGAACGAACTGCCCCCGGAAATTCGTAAGATCTCCGACCTCCGGGTGTTTCGTTGCACATTGAAGACCCTGTTGTTCCGCCAGGCCGGACTATCAACACAATAGTTTTAAATTGGGGTATTTAAATTTATTGGGGTTTTAAATCTGAGCCACTTTATTTAATTATTTTAAATTTTATATTGTTGTTTTGTCTGTGTTTTTAAATAGGCTGTACACCGCCCTGAGTCCTTCGGGAGAAGGGCGGTATAGAAATAAAATTATTATTATTATTATTAACTTACTCCCCGACAACCCTAATCCAAAGCACCTTGGAGCAACACTGGACTGGACTCTTTCCTATACAATACATCTAGAGAACATGGGGGCAAAACTCAAAACTAGGAATAACACATTCCAGAAATTAGGTTGAACTAAAGGGGGAGCTTCAGCTGCCACCCTAAGGTCCTCTTGCATTAGGGCTGGTCTACTTTACATTAGAATATTGTGCCCCTGGATGGCTTAACAGCTGCTATATTAGTCCGTTAAGACTCCAGACTCAATGACATCATGAGGATTATAAGCGGATGTATTAAAATCACTCCTATTTGCTGGCTTCCTGTTCTGAGCCATCTAGCACCGAAGGCAAAATGCACTATGACAGGAGTCAGCAACCTGCAGCTCTGGAGCCGCATGTGGCTCTTTCATCCCTCTGCTGCGGCTCCCTGTTGCTGGTTGGCTCCACAATTGATAGGGCTTTTGGTTAGGACAGGTAGAGGAAAAAGGATGCTTTACTGGGAGGAGACTCTATGGTGGGAGAACTGGATTTTCAGTTGGTTTCAGAATTGAATGGGGGCTTCCAGTTAGGGCCTTTGTGGCTCTTTGAGTGTTTAAGGTTGCCGACTCCTGCACTATGAGAATATACAGAAAAATTAGAAACAACTCTCTCCTACAGGTGCATGCCGACCTTCTGCTGGGACCCTCTGAATAAACGGGGCATAATGTCCTCCCCTTGGTGTCACTGCGAGGTCCCACTTCAAATTGTAGATCACATCGTGACCCGACTGTAAGCTGAGGGCAGATTGCTTAGACCTGTGATGGCGAACCTATGGCACGCGTGCCACCATATTGGTGGTCATGCGAGCATTGCCCTAGCTCAGCTCCAGTACGCATGCGCACACTGGCCAGCTGATTTTCAGGCCTTCTGGGCCCACTGGAAGTCGGCAAATGGGCTGTTTCCGGCCTCTGGAGGGCCTCCAGGGGAGTGGGGAAGGCTTTTTTTAACCCTCCCCAGGCTCCTAGAAAGGCTCTGGAGCCTGGGGAGGGTGAAAAACAGGCCTACCGGGCCATTACATGCCAAAATAGGAGGGAACATGGGGGGAGGTCACCCGTTATTGCGCGGGGGGGCAGGGTGCATAAAATTATGGGTGTGGGCACGCACGTGTGCAACCACCCCACACTCCCTCAGCTTTTGGCACGTGATGGCAAAAAGTTAGCCATCACTGGCTTAGACATTGGTATATCTGTATATAGATCTGTTTTAACATTCATATTTTACTGTGTTTGTAATTTAGGTGAAATGTTAATATATATATTGTACATCCGTGTTCACTGTCAGCTGTATGGGGTTGGGAGGGTGCACGAAGGGAGGCTCAGCCAATCTCATTGTACACATGTTGTACTCTGACAATAAAGGTTTTGAATTTTTTATTTATTTATTTATTTTTGTTATGCCATGCACTAAATAAATAAATAAATACCCAATTATTTTACCATGGCAAAGTTGCTGGTGCAATTCCAAACAAGGAGAAAAATGTAGGAGATTCAAGGAGTCGGAAATTTAGACAGCGTTTGGATTACACACAAAAACAAGCGGAGCCTTAATCACATATTTGTCACCACCTTCTTGACTTTTTTTAAAATCACATTTTGCAGACACTCCTAGTGTCAGGTTTCGATGTCGCCTCAAATAAATTGCATTTCCAAACAAAGTAGTCTTTGATGAAATCTTTCATTTATTAAGCACGACAATCTGTCCCCGATTATGTTGAAGCCAACACTGACTTCCTGACCCCAAACCTTCCCTTTCCGTTCCCCAATTC